AAAAAAAAAAAAAAAAAAAGAAAAGGAGTGAGGGGGACCAGAGCGTCTTAAATTCTTAAGAATTGATTCTTGTAATCACCTCTTCTCCACTTTTCAGAGAGATGCACTTGGCATTTGATGTTGAGTTTCTGACTTAGTCCTGGCGGTTGGCGAGTCCCCAGGATAAAACCTCTCAGAAAGCGGCTAAGTCGGCCTTTCTTCCCCAGGTGGCCTCGCTGCCTTCTCTCGCCCGCCCCCTGGTGCGCCCTCACCTCTTGCCCGCTCCTCCACTCAGCTTGGGGAGTCCCCACCGAAAGGGTCGTGCGCCCCCGCCCGGACTTCAGAATCTACAAACCTGGAGCGGCCTGACTGCTCTGCCCTTAAGAACTCCCTAGCATTATGAGGGAGCAAAAGGATACAGGCGCTGCCAGACGCTGTAGTGGACGAAGGGGAAGACGGAGGGAGGAGGATTCCAGAGAAGTGGATGGCGAGAGAGATACTCACACTCAGGGAGAAGGAAAGCGGTTTGTCTCTTAGATTGAAAGAGAAAATGAGATAGAAAGATACACACAGAGAGACACAGGGAGAGAGGCCAGAGGTGGGAACACATTCAGAGAGGGGGGCGGAAAGATGACCCCCCCCCCACACACACACACATTCCAGCTCTGCCCCGCAGCCTGGGCTCCCTCCTGGGATGATGTTTCTAAGTCCAGCCTGTCAGTCTCTTTCCATTCTCTGCCCCCAGAAGTAATGGCTTTTGGAAAGCAATGGGAGAAGAAGATATTGTTGGGAATGCGGGCCTGCAAGGCTTTGAGCCGTGCTCCCCACACTCTTCCCTTTCTGTCTATCCAGGAGCTGATGGCACCCGGGTGGCAAACAGGATAGACTCCCTTAGCGTCCTGTGCCAGAGCTCCTGGTTTTCGCACCAAAGAAGCGGGATGTTAGTCTTGCGCTTTCCCCGCTTCCAGGAGAAAACGTCCGCCCTCTCTCCATATATAAATATATTAAGGGACAGACAAATCCTCATTGTTCAGAAATAAGCGGAGGAGGCCGTCCGGTTCCCCTCCGCCCGACAGAGCGAGGCAAGGAGGGCTGGAGGGAGGTGGGAGCCGCGCGGATCCGGTGTCACGTTGCAGATTCCCACTAAAGATAACGAAACGTGATCTATTTTTCAGAACAGCAAGTGGATGGGAAAGAACCTTGACAACACAAAACTCATTTACTAATGGACTGGTTTTGGGTTTCTTTTCTCAGAGCCCCGCAAATCGCCCTGCCTGAGCTCTCGGCCTATTCAGACCTCGAGGGGAGCGGCAGCCCCCAGAAAACAGGTGGGCGGCTGCTGCGCCGGGCCCGCACTGCGTGTCCAAACTCCAGTCCTAAGGGGAGTGGGACACCTCGTCTCCAATTAAACACAGGGAGAGAGGAAGGCTGTCTCATTAACTCGCGTTCGGGGACTCCTAGTTGTATCCCAAGGACATTAACTTCATAAATTGTCTCCAAATATCTGTAGACAGAATAGGAACTCTCTGGGTGGCAAAGGAACTCCAAGAAAGCTGAGCATCTTGCTCCAAGTCGGGAGTGAAACAGGGAGGTCCTAGCTGGAGCTTTCTGATCCAACAAGGCCTTATGCACGACAACCAGCGAGACTCGCCTGCAACAATTCCACCTTCTGCCACTCGGGCCAGGCCGTTGCTGCGCGCACTTGGGCTGCGCCGGGCACAGGAGGGCCGAAAGCCCCAGAGCTGCAGCTGGTCCTGGTCGAGGTCCCTTCTATGGTCGCGATGTGCAGAGGGCGCTCACCGACCCGCTGGCTTAGCGTTGCCTTTAAATCTCCGACGACACATCTCTGTTTCTTTCGTGTGATTTGCATTGACAGCAAAGGTTTTAAGTTACCAGAACAACTCAAAACCTTTCTGTGTGCTATTTAAAAGGGATCATTTGGTTTATGTGGTTTGTAAATTCATGTCATTTTACCTCTTTTAGTGGTTTCCAGCGAAAGGTTCCATTTTGGGAAACCTTATATAGCTGAGGCAATAATTAACATTTATAACAATTGGTTTCTCTGACCTAGGAATGGAAATAGTAGGTAGGCTCCTTGGTACAAAGCGTAAGGCACTTTCCTTTCTAGTTAGGCGACCTTTTGAATTAAACAAGGGAAGAAATGCTGGCAGGCCCTGGAGGGGCATCCGTGGGCACAACCGTTTATCAACCCGGTGCCCTGATCCACAGTCACCCTCGCAGTGGTTACCAACATCTAGTACGTTTTAGTTCTTTGAAGAGACATGAAAACAAGTAGTGAGGGAGGTCTGGAGGATGCCAGAGAAAAGGTATTCGTATTAGTGTCTAATCGCAGTCTCTCTGCTCATGGTCATCCCCTAATTAACTAAGAACGCCGCACACCCTACTCAATATATCCTTTGTCTTTTGAGAGGTGATTGTCCTTACACCCTCCCCCCCCCTTCTTGAACTGTAATTCTGCGCACTTGTTCCAGACTTTAGGGTATTAACTGATTTTTAGAGCTGAGTTTAAGCCTCGTTCAGGTCCTCACACAGCTGCCTTGTCAATAAGGATCTGTTCCAAGCAGAGACATTCCTTCTGGCAGGACACTGCAGGTCCTTAGGACTCCATCTGAAACATCATGAGCACGAAAATAAGTCAGCGAGGGAAAATTACCAGGCACATGGGCTTGGGCGCAGCCATGCCAGGGGTCCAGTTTAGAAAGTAAGTCATTAGGCACAACACGTGGCAGGGGCACTTTTAAAATAATATATGCTCATTTTAAAAAATAAGGTTAAATTTAATGAAATATCAACGTCTGCTTCCGTGGTCTAATTGCAAGGGATGCACCGTTTCAGGGATGCAAAGAGCACTATGAAGAAAGTTTCAGATGATGTACTTGGAAACTCCCAAGAGGCAGCCTCTCAAGTGGCAACTTCTTGTGAATTTAAAATGCAGGTTGCAGGGGGCACTGGGCTCAGTGCTGCATCTTAAAGCCTTATAAATAATATGAGAGGGAAACCACACAAATGCTTCCCTTTCTCCCACTTACATTCCAATATGCAAATGGTTCTTTTGTGGTGAGCTCTTGGTGGATGGAATCAAAACATTTAAAGAAGACAATCGCGTTTAAAGAGCCTAGAGTTTTTCTTTGCACTGCTAAGAGGGCACATATAAATCAAACACTTTTTTGAAGTGTACTTAAAATTCTGTTTTGAACTTATCTAATCAGAGATAAGTAGAGTCATAAAGTCACTCTCCTTCTACCATTCAGCTCCCCTTATCTTCAGGCATTGTTCTTATCTTCTGCCAGTCTCAGCTACTGACAATATATTATCTTTGTTTAGAGAGGCTAATTGTTTTCAAAATCTCTTAAATAATTGCTTTGGAACAAGATGTGCAAATGAGGCTTAAGATAATTACAGCTTCATTTGTTTGTGCAGTTTTACTAAGCATTCCTCACACACGCACAAAATAGCAGAGGATGGGACTTAAATTGCAGAACATCTCATTCCTTGGCAGTGAAACACACACACACACACACACACACACACACCCGCTTTTTATTTAATCTTCTTGGAGCCACTGTCGTCCTCGCTTTGAGGGCAGTGTCCCTCTCAGAGCTGGACAAGGATTATGTTACAACAGGACGGTTATTGGAGCCGAGCACAGTTTTATTTAATTTACACCCCATCCAGCGCCTTTCCTACAAGGTCCCAAAGCATTTTTGCTAATAGCAGCTAAAGCTTCTCAGCATTCCTCGGTAGGAGATGGCATTGATGGGGAAACAAAGTCTAGACACCTACCGACTGAAACCAAAGAACCCTAAAATACCAAATCACATATGAACCTTCCAAGTCTATCGGCTCAGCAACTATTCTCTAAAAGGTAGTTCTTTTCTTGGTCCCAAGTCTTCACAGCCCTTTGAGAAGCGCAGTCCAGTGAGAAGTACCCGCGCTCCTTTGAAGGCACGGGTGCCGCGGGGGCGGGGAGAGGAGGTATTAGTTTTGACTCCCCGCAGCTGAAGCGAGCCCGGGGAGAAGCCGTTCTTTTAGCGACTGCAGCCCGGAGCCCTGACCTGCTCTTGTATTATTTATCACATCCCATAAGCTATTCATCAATCCATTATTTATTCATCTCAACATTAAAGTAATTAAATATGAGCTCCTCGGCAAAGGGCAATTTTGCAAGGGACAGGGACGGGAGTGCGGAGAGGAGGGGGGTTTGAAAATCTGGAGTCATTGATTTGTGCAGAGATGTGAGCGGCTCCCCCTAGGTGACACTGGAGAGGGGGCTCAAGTTGCAGGGCGACGCGCTCACTCCCGCTCATCTCCGGCTGCGAACTCTCCCCCACCAATTTCCCCCAAGCCTTTTCCCACTTCTCCAGGTCCTTCTCCTCCCATGCCCCCACCCCCGGCTCAGCAGGCTCGCCCACCCCACGCGGGGCGGCGCAGGCTCCCGGCCCCGCCAGGCGACGCGCGGGCTGGCCAGCCCCGGATAGGCGCCGCCCGCAGCCAATCAGAGTCCCCGGGACGCTGCGCGCTTTAAGGCAGCTGCGGGGAGAACAGAAACCAAGTTCCCCGGCAACAAGCAGCATCCACCCGGCCTGGGGCCGGAGCCTGCGAGGCCCGAAAAGCAAAAGGAGTGCGCCGGCGGCTCCGTGCGCAGCACGACCCTCGCCTCTCCGCCTTCTCGCCCGCGGGTCCCCATCTGCAGACTCCGTTCACGTCTTCGTGGCCGACAAGCCTCGGGAGGGGGTGAGGAGCCGCCGCCCCCCTTCCCGCTGCCGCCGCCCCTGGGGCTTTTCAGGCTCTCCTTTCCTTCACGCGCGCCCCGGCCGCGCGCCCCGGCCGACCCCAGCCATGTCGATGCTGCCTTCGTTCGGCTTTACGCAGGAACAAGTGGCTTGTGTGTGCGAAGTGCTGCAGCAAGGCGGCAACCTGGAACGTCTGGGCAGGTTCCTGTGGTCGCTGCCCGCCTGCGACCACCTGCACAAGAACGAAAGCGTGCTCAAGGCCAAGGCTGTGGTCGCCTTCCACCGCGGCAACTTCCGCGAGCTCTACAAGATCCTGGAGAGCCACCAGTTCTCGCCTCACAACCACCCCAAGCTACAGCAGCTGTGGCTCAAGGCGCACTACGTGGAAGCCGAGAAGCTGCGCGGCCGGCCCCTGGGCGCTGTGGGCAAGTATCGGGTGCGCCGAAAATTCCCGCTGCCACGCACCATCTGGGACGGCGAGGAGACCAGCTACTGCTTCAAGGAGAAGTCGCGGGGCGTGCTGCGGGAGTGGTACGCGCACAACCCCTACCCCTCGCCGCGGGAAAAGCGGGAGCTGGCCGAGGCCACCGGCCTCACCACCACCCAGGTCAGCAACTGGTTTAAGAACCGGAGGCAAAGAGACCGGGCCGCCGAGGCCAAGGAAAGGTACGCGGCGTGCTTCCCGCGGCTCAGGCCACCCTAGGGAGCCTTCCTGTCCCCTCCACCCCTCCCTTCCCTGGCGGACCCCCGCCTGCGCGCCTTCGCCGGGTGCTGGAGTAGGGCTGTAGGGCCGCGCCCAGGCCTCCGCAGTACTGCTGGAAAGGATCGCCTCTTAAAAGATGGGGCTCTTTGGCTTTGAACTTCTGCTCGTGAGTTTTTTGCGGTGTGAGTGTCGGGAAAACATTGGCACTAGTTTTGTTGTTCCTGCCTCATTGGTTGGCTTGAGCGAGAAGGCGGATTGCAGAGTTTTTAAATCAATGAGAAGGGAAATGCTTGCTGGCATCCCAAAAAAGGGGTACCGCGAGGGCCTCAAAGTCCTCACCTCCTCGCTCCCCAGAGGGGTGGAGCTGGACAGGGACTGCTTGATGCCCATCCCCCGCCTCGGCGATCACCCACCAAAGGCTAGCCGGTCGTTTAGGCAGGAGGTTGCCAGCTTCCTTGGTCCTAGCCGGACAAAGGATTTCAAGGGAAATCCACCAAAAAGAGAGCTTTGGGGTGGAGTTGGCGCAGTGTTTATTCCCCAGCGCCCCACGCCCAGGAAGGATGGCTCCTCGCCGGCTGCCTGGAGCGCGCCAGGGCGCAGTGGCGGCCCGGGACCCGCCAGCCCTGCTGTCCTCACCGCGGTGTCTGGGCCAGGAAGGGATCTCCGCTTGTGCGCTCCTCTCTAGGGAAGGAGAGAGATTTAAAAAAAAAAAAAAAAAAAAAACCCAAATCAAAACAAAAAACCCAATCCCAACCTTGTCTTTACCTCTGTGCCTCTTGGCGTCAACACCCTTGGTCACAGTTCGCGATTGAGGTTGGGAAGCGCCTGGGGACCGCGCGGGGAAAGTGCCTTGAACCCTCGAAGAAGCCCGGGAGCCCCGGACCGCTGCCTTTCCTTTGTTGGTTTCTGAGCCTTGGACTCGAGGATCTCGCCTCCTTGTTCCCCTCTAGTGGAAAAGCACAGGGTCTGGATAAATCCAGGCTGGACCGCGCTCTCTAGAGAAGAGAGAGTGGGACAGTGAGGAAAGAGAGAAGGGAGACAGACTGGCGCTAGGAAGGGGATGGAAGGTGGATGAGCACTGAGAAGGCGGAAGCAGTAAGGGTGGAGAAACCCCCAAGTTAACCTGAACTTAGAATCGACACAGAAGCACACTGCGCCTGCAGGCAGGCTGTTCAGGGCCTCGAAGTTTCTCCAACCGAGAAATGCGTGCGCAGGTGCGGGTGTCAGTGGAGAGTTTGAGAAAAGGTCGTAAGAGGCTGGAATTGCACGAGTAACATGGTGACTAGGGGCTGTGCAGTTCCATTTAGATCTTAGTTACAAAACAGCTGTCCTGTGAGCCAGGCCCAAAGGCCCACTCCCTGATACAGTCGGAGAGACTCGTCTGTTTACTCAGGCCACTGGGCCGCTCTGCGCGCTGCTTCCCATGACCTATCCTATGCCTTGGAAACCACAACCTCCGGGCAGGCGCGGAGAAACTCCATTTAATTGTTTCCTCAGATGGGAACAGGGCTATTGACTTGACTCGCCCCAAACATTTTGTGCACTGGGCTCTACGTTTGTACCCAGATCGTTTTCTTCATCATCAACAACCATTTGTTAGGGAGATTTTTTGTTATTGTTGTGTTTTAAAGCTTAGTTGTTTGGAAACATGCCGTTACTTGGTAGATGTTTCAAAGAGCTGCTTGGAAGTTTAAAAGATAATTTTGTTTTTTCAAATAAGCCTTGCCGAACTAAAGTTCTGAAATCTGGAAGGGCAGACATTCTGCATAACTGGCCACTTCTCCAGTCTCCTCTTGACTCCTCACCTCCCCCATGACCGTTGGGGATGGGTGGGAGGGCAAAGCTCCTCCATTTGGGTCCTTGACAGATTGCACAATGGCCCTTTCCTCCTTTCAGCTCTCCTCCCTCCCTCCCTCCCTCCATCTCACACTTTTTTAAAAACCTTTTTTTTTTTTTTTGTAACCATATGGTGTTGTCCTCTATTTCTCAGGGAGAACACCGAAAACAATAACTCCTCCTCCAACAAGCAGAATCAACTCTCTCCTCTGGAAGGGGGCAAGCCGCTTATGTCCAGCTCAGAAGAGGAATTCTCGCCTCCCCAAAGTCCAGACCAGAACTCGGTCCTTCTGCTGCAGGGCAATATGGGCCATGCCAGGAGCTCAAACTATTCTCTCCCTGGCTTGACGGCATCGCAGCCAGGTCATGGCCTGCAGGCCCACCAACACCAGCTCCAGGACTCCCTGCTCGGCCCACTCACCTCCAGTCTGGTGGACTTGGGATCCTAAGTGGGGAGGATATGGGGCCTTCACAGGATGGCTGGAGCAGCAAGCAAACACAGCAACTAGGACACTTGTATATAGAAATCAGGAACATCTTTGCAGCTTGTTCCTGGGATTCTTCCCGCATTAAGGAATGGTGGACTTCCACAAATACGTTTTTACAAACATCAAAACCAACAGCAATTCTCAAGCTTAGTCGCCCTGACCCTCTTCTCTCTGACTCTTTCCACTTTTCTGTTTTCTCTCCCAGTGCATAGATCAAGGGGGGAGGGGAAAAAAATAAAAAAACCCAACAAGCAAAACTGCCCAGTTTTGTTTTGGGCAACCAATGAGTTTGCTTCAGTAACTTCTCTTTTGTTCCAAATGATGGAAATTACAAAACAACTATATTTTAATTATTTTTTATTTATTTGTAGAGAAATGTTTTGGGAAGAGGAAAAGCAAATTTCAAAAAGAGAGAGAGAAAAAAAATAAGAACCCCCAGTGTGGAAGAAACTGGTTGCTTTCTTATGGTGAATAGGAAACTATGATCTTATAACTTCTTGAAGGGGAAAATTAAGTTTACATTTTTCATATTTAGTGTTAAACAGTTTTATGTAGATGAAAATGAAAGTACAGTATTAGGGAAAAAACCTAAACAAAAACCAAGTGCCTAAATGTCTTAATGCTCTCTATGTGAGACAGTTAGAAATAGAAGTGACCATTAGTAACACAACTATTTTTGTCAAATTTAGTGGATTTTTTTGGTTGTTGTTGTTGTTTGTTTTCTTGTTGGTTTTTTTTTAAATGGTAGGCTTTTAGCATGCATCAATGTGAAAAACAAAACAAAACACCAACCAATACTTTCCTGAATGCCATTGCTTCTTATGCCCTGGAAAATTTCAAATCTGTAGCTTATTTACTCCTATGAAGGGTTTCTCCCATTCCTAGTTTCTAGTTTGCAAAAGTATGCCAACAAAGTTGGCAACCTGCTATTTGTTACCCAAACAGCATGTGTTTCAGGTTTATTTTCTATTGTACCTAAACCAGTCTAAATTAAAACTTAGTAGAACACCGGGAGTACGCTTCTGTTTCTGAAAGGTGAGTTTTTTGTTGCTATCACTGGGCCCTATATATATATTTTTTTAAAATTAATAGTTTCTTTCTTAATGGTGGTTATGAATTGCGGGGGACTTTGAAAACCATCACCTGAACCAAGAATAGTGACTTGGTTAATATATGACAGGAAAAAAAAATAGTGAATTTAGCTTGAGGGTATTTATTTATTTTTAAATAATGATTGAGGTATGCAGTATTGTTTACCACAAGCTCTTCTCCACAGCATTCATATGTTAACTGGCTCTTTTGTGTTAACAAGTTTCTGACAACACTGTGAAAGTACAATAATTTATCAGTTTGGAGAAAAAGGAACAAGGATAGCAACATTGTGAATTAATCTGTACAAATAGAAAACAGACCAGCAGGGCAAACACTCTTTCACACAGCTGCCCGATAGTGTCCAGAAAAATTCCAGTAATCATGTAGGCTCCATATTATTTTCACCAGGGGCAAAAATGATGTACCTTCTGTATTCAGCTTTTAAAACTAGTGAAACAAATGGCATTATTTATTAAAATTCTCCTCAGGATAACAGGAGTGGTTTGCTTGTGCTTTGTGAAAATATTATTCTCCAGGGAGAATTTTTTTCTTTTCTGACACAGACAGTTCCATAATTTTTATTTGTTCCTCATCCATAAGTGTCACCACTAATAGACTAATTTCCTTTTTACTCTTTCCTGTCCTCTTAGAAGTGTTTGTGGGAACTCTAGAAGTGTTTGTGGGAAGTTAAGTTCTTCTTATGAGCAGGTTATGGTTTGTTTGTTGGGTTTGGGGTTGTTTGGTTATATGTGTGTGTGTTACTTTCTTTTTTAAGAAACTGTCAAATAACTTTGACTGAATTCAAGGGAGAAAGAGCATCAGGGACTGTCCTTCACTAAAGTCACTTTTACTTATAAAGTCATTTTCCCCCTTAGTGACCACCAGATGTGCGCACAGCCGCTCAGAGACCATCACTTGGGTTGGGAGCTCTGGGTGCCAATCTCCCTTGTTAGTGTTTTGGATCATTAAGTCAGTGTTTATTTAAGTCACTAGGGTGTTTATTCTCCATGTCTTGGGCCACGGAGAAATGCCACCCTCTGCAGGAGGGGCTCTCATAGGGGATCTCCACACATTCTTCACATTCACTCCCCAAAACAAACACCCTGCACAAAGATAGCTTTCAATGACCCTGACAGGCTTCAAAGGACACTGCGGAAATCTCCCTGGAAAATAAGGAAGGGCCAATTACTTTAATTTCTTACATGCTCTCTCTTCCTACTCCGGTGACTACCCCCTACTCATCCAGCCTGCTCCAGAGGATTTTAGACTCCTGCAAATTCTGTTCCCAGGGACACAGGCCCTCTAGCCTACTGCCTCTGTGGTGAATCAAGTGTCTAAGGATAAAGTGAGGAGAGGAGTAGTGCCGGCCGGTCCTGTAAAAGCCCCTGTGATTACTGCTTGTAAACTCGTTAAAAGGACAGTTTTCTGTCACAGCTGTAAACTCTTTGTAAAACCCCTGGCACTGGGTCCCGAGCGAGCATATTCCAGATGTGTTTCGTAAGAAATTGCTCAATCTGCCTCCCTCCACTATCCGAGAGACAAGGAAGAAGTGAGAACGCTGGCTGTTGCTTTGAGTTTTCTTGGCAATTATTTTAGAGAGGTCATTAGGGTGGAAACTAACCAACTTGCTAACTATGTGTGTGTGTGTGTGTGTGTGTACATATATGTATTTCCCCCTAGAGGAAATCCTCGAGGATCAGCTGTTAAGAGCCTTCCCATTTACCATCTCAGCGTCACAGTTTAACTGAATCAAAGGGCACTTTTCATTTCTCCTGTACATGTTTCATAAAGGACAGACAAAAGTTATGATACAGCAGCTCCTTACAAATCAAATGCTTTTAGAACGAAACCTTACTACACTTAGCAAGTGAAAAGACAGAAATATTGGCACTGTTTTTTGTTTTGTTTTGTTCAACCTTTCATGTCTAATCACACTGTCGGCTTGCTTTTACCTCTTGGCCACAAAAGAAACTTCTTAGATGCTCCGGGGTGCTGGGCTTCGCTGGCCAGGGCTTTTGGCTTTAGCAGGTGAGGATTCATGGGCCCCAAGAACCCCAAGATCTGCAAGCAGGGCGGAAGACAATGCAGGCCTTGGTGCCGTTTGACCTGAGCGCACTTTCTCAGGTTGTGGCACTGGCTGTGGAGGTGAGCTCTGGGTTTGCTGAAAGCTGCCCGGATCACGCAGCTCCCTGTCGGCACCCAGAGGGCTAGCCAGCAGTTTGGCAACTTCTCGCTCCTGGCAGCTGTGGCACCCTCAGCAACTGCTGAAGGGGCCTTCACTCCAACCTTCCCCATCTGGAGGTCTTTGGCAAAGCCTCAGGGACAAGGCCCCTGACTGAGGATCCAGAAGATTCCGGCTGCAGAGATCTGGGAGCACTTCTGCCACTCACAGACTCAGGCCTCAGTTTTAGTGTCTCTGCTCCGAAACCCTGCCTTCACCATCATGGAAACTGCGTGTACATCTGCACCCAGCTTCAAGTGCTGGCGGGTCCGCGGGGCCTGGGGACCGCTTTTGATCTGAGGCTGCTGCGCTACTTGGAACCAGCACAGATAAGGAGATGGAAGCTTGAGGTCTGCGGACCTTGCAGCTGTTGTCTTCTTGGGCATCTGGGGCCACCTCTTTGAAGCAGTGGATGTTCCCCTTGGGGGACGGAGGAATTGGAGCAGACTCCAGAGGGGCAGGCATCACTGGCCTCAGAGCTACTCGCCAGGTCAGCAGGGCAGGTTGGTTCGGATCTCGGCTCTGATGGGGGCAGCCTAGGCCCTGGAGCCTGTTTCTCACGGCCTTTCCTCCTTCAGGCACCGCAGGTCTCCTTCACTGGTGGCTCATTGGGTCTTGGCTCCTGGACTCCAGCTTTGCTCCCAGGCACTCAGCACAGGGGTGCCAGCCAGAAAGGGTGCCTGTTTCCAAGGTTGCTGCTGCAGCGGGGAGGGCCTGGGGAAACCACCAGCGGACAGACGTCAGCCCCTTAGCTGGGCCTGATTCAGCTCTGGCTTCTCTGCTCACTGCCTTGGGGACAACAGGCGGGTCCTCCCCAGCCAGGGCGCGCAGGGCCGGAGGGCTTCGGGACAGACTGTCGCACTTGCTTCGCGGCTATGCGAGTGAGTGACATTGGCTGTGACAGTGGGGCCAGTTAAATGAGCTGGAGGGCCCAAGCGGTCCTTCCATGCTCTCTGCTTCTTTTTGAGCTTGCTTAAGAGTAGAGACTGAAAAACTCCACCACTGCCCGACGCCCCGTCAAAGCAGCGTCTGTGCCCACCTCGTCCCCAAGGGCACTCAGCAGCTCAGCCGTGATCTGGCCACACTTGACTGCTCCGAAGGAGGCCTTAATCGGGTGGAGATTTCTGAGCCCCTTCAAGGTCATAATAGCTTCCCCTCACTCCCCGAGTCACTCCACTGACAGATTCCCTGGGTGGAAGGGCTGGATGAGAGGTAAGAGTGAAGAGCTGGGGAAGGAAATGGGGCAGTGAGCGAACTGCTGGCTAATTCGGATGCCCAGAAGAAGTGCTGCGCTGGAGGGGCCCTGTTTTCTCTGATGTTTTAAACCAAGCGTGCACATAACTTCGTTCCAGCTGATGAAATAGGAAACCTGTTCTCCCACTGAGGATGACAATCAGTGTTTTCGACGCCATGGTCCTTTCAGACAGCGAGAAACAACACTGCAGTAGCATTTAAAAACAAAAAGAGGCTGCTGGGGGCGCTCGGACTCCTGCCTCGTCCCAAATTCAAGGTTCAGTTTTTCTCCTTTAACTTGTTACTGCAGAGCTGAGGCCCGGTTCTCAGCAGCTCAGAGCGCACCCACCTTAACGCTCTGTCCCTTTTCTGTTTTGCTACCTGGAGATATTTCCTCTCCTTTTTCTCTGTAAAAGATTTCCTTAACCATGAAGTTAAAATATGATCAAGGTCACATTTGTTTCTGCAATCAAATAGGGAAGTGCAAAAAAGAAAAGCAGAAAAAAAGAGTCCCCCCAAAAACAATTCTCCAATGGTCCAATAATCTCATCTTTTAAAGTTAGCCTTCATTTAACCCACACTAAAGATATCTGACGTGCATCCAAACCACTCGCCACTTCTAAGGACCCTGGCTGCTCCATAGGGTTTCAGAGGCTGTAAATATTTTACGGAA